GAGAATCGCTTAGATGCTAGGGGGAAGCCACCCCAGATCCAGGCAAGGGGCAGCGACAGCGCCACAAAGGTGAGCAAGGTTGATTGAAAATACCAGGGAAGGATCTCGAGCTCGTCCCATAGCGAACCTCGGTTGACGAAGAATCCTCAACCCGAAACGACACGAACTTGCCCAAAACAAAAGGGGTGCAGCAATGATTCTCGGAGGCTGCGGGAAATAGCGAGAACCAGAAAAGCCGGAAGAAACGGATCCCGAACTTCCACCCGGACGCCCCAGAGGAAGCCGTTGTACTGTATCTGGAGAAGAGTCATAATGCTGCTCTTCAGAGATCCGAACTTCTGGCACACGAGCTCGATCTCCGGATTGGGGCACAGATGCCAGCTGCCCTCTGTGAAGACGAGACTGAAGATGTACGCATTGCCGAAAATCAGGATCAGGAGCCACAATAGAACATTCCTGGGGCAGGTTTAGGGTTTGGGGTTTAGGGCCATCGGCCAAAAGGTTTAAGTTTAGGGCTTGGGATTGAGAAGGGGGGTCTTTACCTTGCATTGTACGTTCAACGCAATACGAACCGTTCCCAACAACGAGCAAGGCTCATACTCTCAGACAGAGACTCCAGCAATATTCGAAACTGTCGGAGCTGTGAGGAATGCGCGAGGGACACCCGCGCAGCCCACAAGATTCGGAAAACGCGAAACATTCTACAGATCCTGAAAGCAGTCGAAGAAGTCTCCAGCAACTCGTTATCAAGTACCAGAAGGTTCGCAACAAACAAGATAACGGTGACGGTATCCAGCAAGTTCCACCACCGCCCTGTTCCTGTAACGAACCGCCCCCGTGCTAAGGCCATCCTTATGAGAAGGTCGCAGACAAATAGAATGCAGAAGCACACGTCGGCCGTGTGCGCCCAGCTGGGCTCTTGGCGATAATAGGTCTTGTAGTCGATTTCGACACCGAGATAGATTGCATAAGCCAAGACCAGCACGTCCACGACGTACTCGTACGCTTCCGTCAAGATGCGAAGCACCTGTTCCAGACAGCAGCCCTGCAAAAACGGCAACCCCAAGAGTAGCATAACGAGTCCAACATTCTATCACACGCAACCTTGAAACTCCTTAATCTCAGGATGTCTGGAGTTTAGAGGCCCAGGTTTTGGATTTTGAGCTTAGGCTGTTTAGGACGAAGTTTCATCGATCATCATCATTGCAATCGCCAGCAGCAGCAACAGCAGTAGCAGCATCCGTTGGTGATGTCAGAGATAGGTGCAGGGGCGGTGCATCTTGCATGATGTCATCACCATCATCATCAGCATCATCATCAGCATCGTCGTCATCATGCAATCATGCCCCATCCATCTGGATCCCCTGCCCTGAGACCCCGTGCAGCAACAACACTAAGCCGAGCCCTTGCTCTTTGCGGACCTTCTTCAGCGTCATCGCGGGAGGGCTGTACACCGTGTGCATGGCATCCGAAAGAACCTGCGTGGCCTGCCTGGTGTGGCCTCGGAAGTGACTCTTGTCGCAGTGTCGGTGAAGGAGATTTAGGCTGTTTAGGGTTCAGGGATTCGTCGAGTTCTTGGTGCAAGGTTTAGACGTTTATAAGGCTTAAGGTTAAGGATCTTTGGTTGCACAGGATTTAGGACCCATGAGCTCTATTACGGCTCTTTGCTCAAAGGTGGGGGCCCGCTTGGGTTTCGGGCAGTTGCCGTTTGCTGGCTTAGCGTTTTCCGTTGGGGCTTTCGATTTGTGACATAGAGCTTTGGGCTTTTGCGGTTTCGGCTTTAGGGTGCTTGCTTTGCTTCTCAGAACTTTAGGGTTTAGGGCTTGGGGCTGGCTCTCTCCTTGTTTTGGGGGGCGGGGTTTCAGGGACTCGAGAAGCCAAAATGTGACGGGGCGCCTTCGATTGTCTCTTGGTAACTCTGGTCCTTCTTTATCTTCCGACCGTGCTCATTCCGGACTTTCTCAACGATGTTCACCAAGTGCGGAGGCATCGAATCACGAAGGCTTATCTCATGCTCGTCCGCCTGCATCACAAAATCCTGACGGCGGGCGAGTGGTCTTTCAGGCTTTAGCAAGAGGCCTTCGGCTAGTTTGCAGCTGAGGGTGAGGCTTACTAAACGTCCAACATTCAGGCTGAAGCATTCGGTTTCCAGATTTCTGCTGCAGGGCCGAGAATGATTTAGGTTTCCGGGCGAGTCTGAGACGTCACATTGCAAGTGGCTGAGTCTAAGGCCAAGGGCTTTCCGACAGCAAGACACCCCCAACGAACCGTTAAATAGTAGTGTCCTTTTTGCAGACACCCCACAAAGTAGACCACAAGCCTATCCGGCCCTGTCCTGGTGCCGTGACGGCAGGTTCGCCGTCGATGCGAAGCCGGCCAACAGTTGCCGCACCGACTGATCGAAGTGGCTCTTGAGCCGTGCCTCTTGCCTTGCTCTTGGGGCTCAAAGTTCGGGGTTTAGGGCTCTGTCTGGGGTCTCCAGGGTGCCAGGTTTCCAGAGCCCGATACCCGAAACAGCTTAGGGCTCGAGATCACTTCTACTCGAGATTCCGTTGGTTTACCAAGTGAGGCTTGAAGGGTTCGCGATGCTTAAAAGGTTTTAAAGCTGAAGCTCTAGCTAAAGCGTTTAGGGCCAAGGTTCGTGGTTGGAAGGGCTTGGGGCCTGGGGTTTGGGGATACGGATCCTGTGAAACCCCAATCACCCTAGTCAAGGCCCTCATCGCTTCTTCGGAGCCCATCCGAATTGAAAACCACACAACCACCAGGCCTTCAGTTTGAATTGGTGCTTCAATCCTGTCTTTGCTTTCGGGTTGGGGCTCATCGGTTCTCTTGGATTCCGAAAGCCAAAGGTACTGAAGTAGCTGACTGGGATCAACGAGGTGTTGTCCCCCAGCGATCATTTTGGTTGGCTTTTGTCGAGGCTTGGGGGCTTCAAGTCGCCCCCAGGTCTCGTGCTTTAGGGTTTGGCGGGTTAGGGTTTAGGGGAGATTTAGGAGAAGCGTGTAGGCCTAGCTTTGAGACTTAAGGGTTGTAGTTTTGAAGTTTTAGGTCTTGGTGTTGAGCGCCTCAGGTGCTAGGATTGTGGAGATGTTTCGGGTTGCAAGGATTTCTTGTTTGGGGTTTGGTCGGTTATTTGTCAGGTCCCTTAGGCCCACGCCCTAGGCCCTAAGCCCTAAGCAGCAACTGTTTTGTTTGAGTCTTGATGCATCGGGGCGGTTCACCCTACACGCCTCGCCCCCCCCCCCCTCAAAAAGAAACTATCCTCCCAAGCGGCTGTTGGAGCAAACCCTCGACGATCCTGTCTGTGACAGGGTCACCATCCGGCTGTTCGGATTTCGGCATTGGCATCTTTACACTCCACCCTAGACGACAGCTAGAAACCTCCAAGAACTAAGTCACACTGACCCACGTCCTAAAACCTTAATCGCTTAAAACCCAAGCACGAAAGCTGCAGGACACCGCAGCTTTGCTGGTGCCCAAACGGCAAGCCGACGAGAATCTCGTTGGGATCTAGATTTTGGGTGTGGAGTGTAAGGTTTAAGACCCGAAGTTGAGCCCTGAACCCCAAACCATGTTAGAATCCCCCCTGATCTAAACCGAGCTCTACTTCTCAATACCCAACTCTAGTTCTTAGGAATCTTCCTTTGAATCATCCGCTCGGACAGTCCTCACCTCGAGAGATTAGAAGATCGAGACATCTCCCCGAAACTACTGCCCCCCATAAAAACCCTTTTGATTCTAGACCGTAAACCCCGAACCCAAACGCTGAACCCCAACTCCATGAAGCCTCAACACTTAGAGCTCCAATCCTACACTTAGGACCATCAACTCTCAACCCCTAAAACCCATGATTCCTGGTGAGCGCACCAGACCTTAAATCGGGTATCAGGGCCGCTTACTTAAACCCTGAGAACCATCTCTTCTGCCACGTGCTTCGACGCTGGGGCGGATCTGACGAACGGGTTCAGCCGCAAGCTACGGTGAGACTTCGAGTGCTTAGGGTTTAGGGGTTTGGGGGGGTTTCGGGGGTTTCGGGGGCTTGAGGGTTGAAGTGGGTAGCCTCAAGATCCCGCAGGCGCTTCGCGCAACGTCGGGCTTGAAGCAGACAGTGCATCGAAGGTACGCAGGAGGGCTTAGATAGAGGTTCCGAAAGGGGAGCAACGGGGCACCAGTCACGTCCAGATGCACCTTGAAAAAGAAAGAGTTACGTCCACCCGTCGCCTCCGGGTAGCTGCGAAGCTCCTCCCCGACTCATCCTGGAGATTCTGCTAGCATCGAAACATCCTAAAACATGCCAAGCCCGGAGACAAAAAAACACCCTCGCTAGTTTGCGTCTGCAGCTGCCCGCTAGGGCCTCCGAGTGGACATGTCTCCACGAAGGAGAAACTGGCACTGGTCCGGAGTCTCTTCTGAGGGGCTTCGGAGATGGGAAGTCTTTCGGGACCCCAAAATCAGGTGCCCCCTTATTTTCGGAAACTCTCGGGTTCCGTGACTCAGGGACTCGAGGAGGTGAGAACGGACGTCTATGAAGTCCAACCTCGGACCTTCAACGCCACATTTTACCCCCCGGAATACTGGACCCCAAATTCAATACTTCCAAACTCCGAAACCCTAACCCAGAGGGCCAAAAATAAATCCTATCTTCTAAATCTCAAACCCTAGCACCCGCAGTTCACTCCCAGAAGACAAGCAAGAGACTCCGGGCGAGCGCAGCGGCAATTTGCAAAAACAGAGGAGGGGAGGCCGACTGAAAGGCCGAGTTGAAAGGTTTTTTGGGGGGTTTTCGGAGTTTAGGGGTGAGCCTGGGTGGGTTTAGGGTGTAGGGTTTTAGGAGTTACGGCTTGGGGTTTAGGGATGTCGGGAAATGGAGAGTAAGTAAAAGCACCAAGGCCTCGCCCAGACATCTTCGGAGGGCCCACTGAGCCCTCCCTGAATGTGCCAAAAAAAGAGCCTAAAGCCCATTCACTGGGATGCGGCCCTTCGCAGCCCCCCTGCTTCCTCATGAGCCATGGCCCAGACCGACCAAGCTGAACTGTGGGCTGTTCTTTCGGGCTGAAAAGTGTTTAGTGGTTTGGGATGTGAACGCAGTGTAGGGGGAGTTTATGGTCTGGAGCTGCGTGATCTTGGAGCTTTAAGGCTTTCGCCTCCCTTCGCTACAGAAAGGGTTGGAGTTTCGGGCTTAGGGTTGGGGCATCTGCACTGGGGAGTTCCCCAATTGAGAACAGCCCGTGATTGCCAAGAGGCCAACATACTCAACCGAACTACAGGTGAGGCGCTTCAGCACAGCCGGACGGCTCTAGGGTCGCAAATTTAGGCTTTATCATAAGGCTTGGGCAAACACCTCTTGGGGGGTCGGGAGCCAGTCTACCAATGATCGTATCTACCTGAAACCCCGAAGCCACTGAATCGCAACCCCAAACCCCAAAAACATAGCACCCCAAAAAACTCGACGCCCAAACCCTGAGGCCCTAAACCCTGAAGAGCTGCATGAAAACTCAAACCCTAAACCCCTAAACCCTAAACTCTGCAAACTTGCGCGCGCGTCACCTCAGAACGGCAACTTCTCTTTCAGGTCGACCTCGGGGCAGTCGGCCAGGGGAGGGACAGCCTGGGGCCTAGGGCTTCGAGGTTTCTGCGCGGAGGTTTCGGGTTTGAATTTTTTCGGCGTTCGTCGAGAACTTCAGAACGCTGGGAAGCAAAGCAGATCCGTTGCGACACATCTGCCTGGCCTGTGTGGTGCGGTGGCTAGGTTCGAGAAGGTAAGGAGCTTCCATCGGCCGAACTGCAGTTGGGCAGCTCAGCTTGCAAAAGAATCACGCAAGCTATCGCCGCGACAGCCCTTCGACAGAGGACGAGCATTGATGTTGAGTCCTTTTTCGAGGAGCCCGCGACGATGGGGCTGCTGGCCATCTAGGCTGCAGCCTTTCAGCGATCAGGCCCAAGCTAAAGGGAACCCTACACTCTGAACTCTACACCCCAAACCCTTGCCTGGAAGCTTAGGCTTCAGAACCGTAACATCTTCTGGGCACTAAACCCTCAACCATGAAAACCTGAACCCCTCCAACCGCAGACCCTAATCTAGGGCTTAGCCGGGCTCAGCGCTTCAGGTCGAAAGTCTGATGCAAGCCTCACAGAACCCTTGGACAAAGCTTCAAGAACCCTGAGAGCTCCCGGCACTGTCGGGCGACAACCTCTGGAGAATTCCCATGAGCTCCTCCGACCGGAGAATCAGAAGCTCTGTTTGTAGAGTCGTGGAGTCTAGGGTTCATGACCCGAAAGGGTTTAGGCTTTGGGGGAGGGCCTGGGGCTCTTTAGGGTTTCAGCTTGCAGAAGGCTCAGCACTTTGGGCGCTTGGGGTATCAGGTTTACGACTGGAGGTCTCGAATTCAGGTCCAGGTTCAAAAATGACAAGAACAGTTTGGACCCTGCTTTCACTTAGCAACTTTCGGGTGCAATACTTCGG